CAGCAGCATCAGCAGCATCAGGCCGCCTACCACCAACACCAACAGCATCACCATGATAAAGATAAAGATGTATTGCATGCATGGCCTGACTTGTGGTGTATATACAGGTCGTTGTTATCCTCTATCTTCCATATAGGTGTTCTTATATTTTGCCGCTGCAGCGGCGAAGACAAACAAAACCAAATATTCAGCGCCTGCTGCTTGTGGCCGTCCTCGAGCACGTTGCTGTACCTGCAGCAAACAGCAGCAACAACACAACACCACCACACACACTGTTCTCCTGATCCTCCTCCTGCTGCTGCTGTTGCTGTTGCTGTTGCTGCTGCTGCTGCTGCTGCTGCTGCCAGCAGCAGTGCAAGCCGCTGCTCCTTCTGATCTCATCAGGTGTGCGTACACCCCAAACTCGCAACACGCCCATATAAACGCTAATCCTCCATAAACAAACACTTGCTTGTGTTACTGCTGCTGTTGCTGCTACTCCTGCTAGCTAGTGCTGCTGCTCCTGCTCCTGGCGCCTCTGCTGCTGCAGCTGCAATTGCTTCTGTGCTGCTGCTGCTGGTGCCGCTGCTGCTGCTGCTGCTGCTGCTGCTGCTAGTGCGTCAATCACCTGCGCTGCAGCGAAGTAGAAAGGCCCGGCAGCAGCGGAAGCAAGGAGGCGCCGCTGCTGCGGCCCCCCGCCCACTGCATGGCCAGAGCTGAGGATACACCCTGCAAGGCAGCCAACGCGCTGCTTATGATGCCGCTAGACTTGCTGCTGCTGCTGCTGCTGCTGCTGCTGCTCATGTTGTTGCTGCTGCTGATGCTGCTGTTGAGGCTGCCGCTGCTGCTGCTGCTCCGGCTGCTAATGCGAGGATATTCTGCAAGAGCAGCTTCATCCGCTGCAGCAGATGCCGCGATAGGCGACGACGGCAACTGAAAAAAGCAACTGCTGCTGCTGTTGCTGCTGCTGCTGCTGCTGCTGCTGCTGCTTGCAGCTGTACTAAAGAGGCTCCAGGGGTCAGCACGGGGATCGTCCTCTGGAGACGATCCCCGCGGCAGCTGCGCCGCCCAAGCCAGCGGCTCGAGCCTCTTNGTCCTCTGGAGACGATCCCCGCGGCAGCTGCGCCGCCCAAGCCAGCGGCTCGAGCCTCTTCCTGTGGGCCACCGACCCTGTGCGCACACAACCACCGTAAACCCTAAACCCTAAACCCTAAACCCTAAACCCTTAAGCTTTGGGTTTTACAAGCAGCGCTAAAGGGTTTGATCTCCACCCGCAGCTGCTGCTGCTGCAGCTCTCGCAGCCCAGGTGCTGCAGCCTGAAGCCATTTTGCTGCTGGTGAGGTGATGCCTCTTCATGAGGCATGGCTCTCACGCTGCTCCAGCTGCTGCTGCTGCTGCTGCTGCTGTTGTTGCTGCTGCTACTGTTGCTGCTGCTGTTGCTTACCTCCATACTGAAGGGCGAGGTCGTCTCCGCTGCTGCCTGTCAGGGTGACTATGGCGCGCAGCACCTGCAGCAGACAGAGCAGCAGCAGCAGCAGATACAGACAAGCCTCCTCTGCCTCCCCTCTGTTGCTGCTGTTGCTGCTGCTGCTCTTCTATCTCCGTGCTGGTTGTGTTGTATCTGCTGTCGTGGGTACAGGTCTACTGCCAGCTCGCTGCTGTTGCTGCTGCTGCTGCGTTGGCGTTGCTGTTGTTGCTGTGGTAGTGCTGCTGCTGTTGCGTTTCTGGCGATGCGCTGCTGTTGCTGCCGTTTCTATTTCTGGTGGTGCTATTTCTGCGGCATCTGCTTGCAGCAGGTGCAGCAGNGCAGCAGAAGCAAGTGTGAGAGCTTGCCTGCTGATCCAAGGCATTGTCAATAGTAAGAGCAGCAGGAAGGGCCCTCAGAAAAGATAAAACAAAGGCGCGGTGTATGTGCAGCTGCAGCTCGTTGGTGCGGTCCAGGGAGTCGAGACAATTCAACCGGCAGACCCCCTGCTGCAGCTGCAGCGGAAGCAAACCCCACATGCTGCAGCAGCAGCAGCAGCACCACCAGCAGCAGGAGCAGCAGCAGTAACAGCAGCAGCACCAGTAGCAGCAGCAGCAGACAGACAGAGAGGAGAGACAGGCGGTCTTGTCTTGCATACAGCAGAGATGCAACAACATTAACTACGACACGTCACAGATAAAATACAACAGAGTTGCTGCAGTTCCTGCTGCTGCTGCTGCTACTGCTGCTGCTGCTGCTGCTGCTGGTACTGCTGCTGCTGCTGCTGCTGCTTACTCGTTTGATGCGAAGAACTGCAGCTGGCGGATGGTGTTGGCTGCGAGGACCCCCACCCAGGCGGAGGCCCCCAGGGGGTTTGTGCGTCTTGCTGCTTCTATATCAACAGCAGCAAACCTCAGCTGCAGCGCAGCAGGAAGCTCCTGCAGCAAGCCAATGCATGCAACAGGAACGCAGCAGCAGCAGCAGCAGCACCAGCAGCTTTAAGAGCCTCTCAGTGTACAGACAACGCAAATAGCAGGCAACAGCCACAAGGCCCCTGCTGCAGCTGCACCGCCATCAGCAGCAAGAAGAATAGACGCAGCAACAGCAGCAACAGCGACAGCAGCAGCAGCGACAGCAGCAGCTGCTGCTGCTGCTTCTAGGGGTCTTACTGCGTTCAGAGCTGCAACTGCCCTGCGATACTCCTCCCCAAGACAGGCCTCCTGCTCTGCTACAGTTGCTGCTGCTGCTGCTGCTGCTTCTTCGCTGTGGCTGTCTTCATCTTTCTCCGCAGCAGCAAGCGCTGCCTCTATTGCTGCTGCTGCTCCGCCTTGCCCCTGCTGCTGCTGCTGTTTCTGGTGACGCTGCCCCCCAAGCCTAGCTGCTGCAGCAGCAACCGCACGCGGAGTTGTCTGCTGTGCTGCAGCAGGGGGCCCCAGGCGAGGGCTGCAGCGCAGCAGATTCAGCAGCAGCAAAGGGGCCCCATACCGCTGCAGCAAACCTGCCATGTGTCTCCTTATGGCGCTGCAGTTCACGTCCGTCTGAAGATGCAGCAGCAACAGCAGCAGCAGCAGCAACAGCAGCAGCAGCAACAACAGCAGCAAACATGTGGCATAAACAAATCAGAGGAGCACACAACAAAAGTGCCTATCTGCCTCTACACATGAAGTAGCAGAAGTAGCAGCAGAAGTAGCAGCAGAGGCAGCCGCAGAAGCAGCAGCAACAGAAGTAGCAGCAGCAGCAGCAGCAGGAGCAGCAGCAGCAGGCGCACCATCCTGCGTTGTATTCTGGGTCTTGAGGGTATGACGGTGGTGTCTTGACACCACAGCAGCGGCGCGCTGCCTCTGGCGAGGACATGAGAAGCAACAGCACTCTCAAAGGCCCCTCCCCCCCGCAGCAAAACTTTCCGCCACAGCGCAGCAGCACTGTCTGCTGCTGCTTCTCCTGCTGTTGCTGCTGCTGTTGCTGCTGCTGTTGCTGCTGCTGCGGCGGCGGCGGCGGCTGAGCGAGAAGGCATCGTTGCCTGACATATGAACTCCACCTCCACTTCATTTGCTGCATCGCCAGCGTCGTTGAGTCCCCTCTTACGGTAGCTGCACACCCAGAGCAGCAGCAGCAAGTAGAGAGCTGCTGCAGCAGCTTCTGCAGGGGCAGCCGCAGCAGCAGCAGCAGCAACAGCTGATGCAGGGGGTAAAGCCGCACCAGCCGCAGCAGCTACAACACAGTCGCCGGAAGTAGCAGCTCACGCACGATGCAGTCACAACAGCGACAAGAGCAGCAACAACAGCAGCAACAGCAACAGCAGCAGCAGCAACAGCAGCAGCAGCAGCGAGACATCACGCATACGCCGGCCTACCGAGGCCCGGCGAAAGCAGCAGACCGTCTTGAGATTGTCAGCAGCTGCAGCATCACTCCCTGTGTGTGCAGCATTTGCTGCTGCACCGAGCCATGCAGCAGCAGCAAGAAGAAACCCTCCGCTATCAGATCCGCCTGCTGCTGCTGCAGCAGCAAAGAGAGCAGCTCACGATTCCACAGAAACCGGCACTCCTCCCGGTGTAACGGTGACCAACGCCAGCGGCTGCCAGATCCCTGCTGCTGCTGCTGCTGCTGCTGTTGCTGCTGCTGCTGCTGCTGCTGCTCCTGCTGCTCCTGCTGCTGCTGATTACAGCTGCCGTCAGCTGGGGGCACCTCGCAACTGAGGTACAGCTCGTGGAACAACGCTGCGCGGGCTGTAGCAGCACGAGCTGCTGCTGCTGCTGTTCTTATATCTGCTGTAGCTGCTGGCTCAGCAGCAGCAGCGGCAGCAGCAGCAGCAGCAGCGACAGCAGCAGCACGCGCAGCAGGTCTCCTAGCAGCTAACTGTTGAAGGGGCAGGTTGATACAGAGGGTCCTACAGAAGTAAAATCCTCTGTCTGCATGATACGCAAAAACTGAGGTTCTATACTTGGCGTCTTCTGCTGCTGCTGCTGCTGTTGCTGCTGCTGCTGGTCCTGAGCCCAACGACATACCTACAAGGCCCCGGCAAAGATCTTGCAGCTGCTGCAGGAACAGAAGCTGCTGCTGCTGGTGCTTCTGCTGCTGCTGCAGCTGGTGCTGCTGCTGAGGTTGCTGCTGCTGCTGCAGTTGCTGTTGGTGCTGCTGCTGCTGCTGCATCTGGTGCTGCTGCTGCTTTTGCTGCTGCACAGCGTGCAGCAAGTCAAGAGTGGGGGCTGTGCTGCAGCAGAAAGCTGCTGCCTCCTGCACAGTTTCCGCCTCGAAGAAGAGCGGCAGCAGCAGCAAGCCGTCAGCAGCATACACCGTGTGGTGCAGCAGCAAACGCGCCGCCTGCGCGCAGCACAGCACATCAACATCATTGCTGCTCTTGCTGCTAATGCTGCTGCTGCTGCTACTGCTGCTGCTGCTGCCGCTGCTGCTACTGCTGCTGTTGCTGCTGCTGCTGCTCCCACAACTAGGCTGTGTTCTGATAGCTCGTTCCGACTGCAGATAAAGCTGTTGCTGCGAGTGCCGGCAAGGAGGCAACTGACGTCACTCAGTTCACTACAGCTGCTGCTGCTGCTGCTGCTGCTGCTATTGCTGCTCCGGTTGCTGCTGCTGCTGCTGCTGTCTTACGGGCTGTGCGCCGGCAGCAGCTACGAGGTGAAAGCCACAGACGAGAGGCAAGAAGCCCACGAGTCCCGCGCAGCGAATCTGCTGCTGCGGCTGCTCCCTCAGCAGCAGCAGCGCTGCAGCTCAGGCGCATCACAACACACAGAACGGCTCTGCAGCAGCAGCAGCAGCAGCAGCAGTATAAGCGGCAGCAGCAGAGACAGCAGAAGCAGCAGAAGTCGTAAATAATATCCTGAGTATAAATAACAGCAGCAATAGTAACAACAGTAGCAGCAGCAGTAGCAGTAGCAGCAGCAGCAGCAGCAGCAGCAACAGCAGCAGGTCAGCTGACTGTTGATTAGGCAGCTTTTTGCTTCCTCTGTTGTCATCAGCTTCCTGCCTATCCGCTCCCAGGTAGGAGGGCGGTGAAAACAATGTTCATGCCTCTGCTTTGGCTGCTGTTGCTGCTGCTGTTGCTGCTGCTGCTGTTGCTGCTGCTGCTGCTGCTGCTGCTGTTGCTGTTGCTGCTGCTGCTGCCGTTGTTGCTGTTGGCGTTCGAAGTACCTTTTCATGTGCTGCCGCTGCTGCAGCGCAGGCTGCTTGTGGATGAGCAGCAAGGAGTGCAGCCTCCGCCACGTCCTCCCGTCCCTCCCCAGCAGACATTCTTGAATCTGCTGTTGCTGCTGCTGCTGCTGCT